GAGCCACTGTGCTGCCTAACATAATAGTTCTTAAAGGGATAGTTTAGCCAAAACTGACAAAAATTTTGTCATCATTTACTTGCCCTTTACTTGTATCAAACCTATTTGACTTTCTTTCTACTGTCGAACAATAGAGAATATATTTTGAAGAATGTTGGAAACCTGTATCTATTGACTTCTGTAGTGTTTGTTTTTCAGTCAATGGATTTTGAGCATTATTCAAAATGTCTTCTTTAGTGTTCGACTGAAGAAAGCAAACCTGTGTCCGCATGGGTTTATTCCGCTGTGGCGACCCCTAGATAAGGGGTCTAAATAAGGGACTAAGCTGAAGGAAAATTAAATGAATACAGAAAGCAACTCATAAAGGTTTAGAGGGAGGGTAAACAGAAAGTAAATAAATTTTTTTTTGTGCAAACTATCCTTTTGATTAGGATCTCTGGTTCCAAGAATGACTTTTGGAAAAAACTAAAAAAAAATAAAATAAAATAAAATTTAAAGATCTTTTGGAAATTCTTCGGTTTCTCTGCATTTTTGTCATTTTTATTTTGTTCTGCAAACAACTGATGACAAAAAAAAAGACATTGCTGACAAAAATTTAATTAAAGTGACATTTTTAGAGCATAAAATGACAACTGTAGTTCACACAGACTTTTCCAGGAAAATTAATGATAACTTTTATGAAAGAGATCATGTGTTAACAGCCCATTTTTAAAAATGCTAGTAACGGTATTCTGGTAATTTTACACATATCTACAGATATTACAGTGTGAAAGAGGCTATTAAATGTCAATAGATTGGTTAATAATTCAATATAAACACCCTTATTTTCATTCACAACATTTGACGTCAATGTGCAATGTCCAACCATGTTACCACTATGACGTCTATCACAACTTGAATTGGTTGCCGTATCTGATGACTAAATGTCAGTAATTGATGCCAATATGACGTTGGTTTAAGATGTTGGCTCGACTTTGGATTTTGTGTCACTTTCCTACACAATCTAAAATCAACCAAATATTAACATCTAATGATGTTACAACTTGACATTGTGTAAAGTTACCACTATGACGTCTATCAGACACTGGATTTTGGTTGCCATACCTGACAAATAAATGTCAGTATTTGAAATCAATATGATGTTAGATTTTGGGTCACTTTCCAACACAACCTTAAATCAACCAAACATCAATGTTTAATGATGTTATACAGCTTGACATTGTGTGGACGTTACCACTATGAAGTCTACGAATACATGTCAGTATTTGACATCAATATGACATTGGTTTAAGACAGGGGTGTCTAAACTCAGTCCTGGAGGGCCGGTGTCCTGCATATTTTAGTTCCAACCCTAATCAAACCTGAACCAGCTAATCAAGTTCTTTCTACGTATACCAGAAACTTACAGGCAGGTGTGTTGAAGAATGTTGGAGCTAAACTCTGCAGGACACCGGCCCTCCAGGACCGAGTTTGGACACCCGTGGTTTAAGATGTTGACTCGACCCTGGATTTTGGGTCACTTTCCAACACAACCTAAAATCTATCAAATGTCAACGTCCAATGATGTTACAGCTTGACGTTGTGTGGACATTACCACTATAATGTCTATCAGACATTGGGTTTTGGTTGCCCAACAAGATTAATAAATGTCAGTATTTAATGTCAATATGACGTTTAAGATGTTGGCTTAACGTTGGATTTTGGTCACTTTCCAACACAACCTAAAATCAACAAAATTTCAACGTCATTTGACGTCGTTCTAGGACATTAAAGAGCCCATATTATACATGAAATAGGGTCATATCTTGCTTGTAAGGGTCTCCAACAACAGTCTAATATGCATGCAAAGTCAAAAAACACTTTCATGGTCTTATAATCTGCATTTATTTTTACCTAATTATCCCAGCGACTCCTGTATGAATCGTCCAGTGATTCATTTGTTCCCAAACCCCTCCTTAGCGCGAAGCTAATCTGCGCTGATTGGACCGATGACAGTCTGTCACGATTGGTCGACTGCCTTTAGTCAGAGAATGAAATGCCCAATAGCTAATCAGCAATATGAAAGTAATCACAGTTCATACGCGCTCCATAGTGTAGGCGTGGATTTTAGCTGCCACACACACACACAAACACACACCTCTGGACGACAACGCTCCCGCTTCCGCCCGCACCCGCCAGGTTTTAGCCTGAACCCGACCGCTCCCGGCTTATATTTAGAATTTCTTGTCCCGGTGCCCGAACCGCCCCGTTTTCTGCCCGCCGCGCCCGATCCCGCTAAAGAGCGGGGGAGAACATAACCGAAAATCACCCAGCAAAACAGTCCAGAGACAGCCAGACAGAGCTCGCTCTCTCGCTCTCTCTCTCTCTCTCTCTCTCTCATACGCGCGCACTAACACATACACACAAGCGCCAAGCAGACACACAGGCAGGCAAAGCTCTGTCTCATTCGCATAGCAATATCCACGATATTGCTAGACAGCCCGCTCCCGTCCCAAATTAAACCTGTTACCGACCGCTCCCGCGATTGATTCGGAAATTTAGTGTGACAGTGTGACTTCAATCGACCGGCATGTTTGTGTGCGTGTGTTTGTGGGTGTGTGTGTGTGTCTGGGTTTCTGCGTCAGAGGGCGGGGCCTCAGGTTTGAAATCTCCCGGGTTTGCGCGTGCACGTGAATAACTTGGTTTCGTTCGTACGTCATGGCGAAACACCTAATGAATCGGTATCAAGGCGACTCGTTTGAAGCACTATGAGTCGACTCTTTTATAGATGAATCAACCGTTTTAAACACTGTACTCTTACAGATTTAAGCCTTAGCTGGATACTTCACTTCACTTAGAGCTGTGTTACACACTACATGGAGGGGAATTTTCAAAAACCCATAATATGGGCTCTTTAAAATAACATTGTCCTTAGACGTTGACTAGACATTGAATTTTGGTCATCAAGGAAAATTTTTTAAATCCCTGGTAGGCTTTTGGGCAGGTTTTTGGTAGCCCAAATTAAATTTAAGTGGCCCAAATACCATTATTTACTAAATAAAAAGAAATACATACATTTGCTAAATTTTAAAAAAATATATATGATGGCATTTATTGTAGGCTACACACAAATAATGTGAAAACCAGCTCTCGCTTTAATTGTTTTATTATTATTTTTAACAACTTGTGTTGTTATTTTTGTGGATCCTCAATGCAAGCAAATGACATACAACATGCGTAATCTATTAAAGAATGCAAAAGCACTGAAATACTCTATATTTTTCCGTCCACTGAGATGGCCACCAGGTGGATAAACTTTTGGTAGCCCGGTGTAACGCATTCCATAATAACATGTTACTGTATTCTAATCACATTTTTGGGGAACGCAGTAATGTAACGAATTACATTTTAAATTTGTTTAATTTGATTTCAGTTGCTAAAGTCAAAGTAATTGCGTTACTTACGTTACAAATATAGTTTTGTAGAAGAAAATTTCCGCTGCAATGTCAGTTAACAAGCAGGTGCTTTTAAATTGCAGGAGAACGCGAGCTGAAATTGGTTGCTGTCAAGGGAGTTTGCTTCTTCAAGAGGAAATACATTACTTAGATTTCATTGAGCGTAAAAACTAAAATGAAATGCAATCTATGTCCAGTCTTTAAAGAATTTTCGACTGCTTTTAACTCGACCATTGAATATTAAATTACTGAATGAGCTGTAGTATATTTTGTATTATTTTATCGGTATAATTTATATGTTTTTAAACATGGGCGGACTGGCCATCTGGCAATTCTAGCACATGCCAGAAGGGCTGGACCTTTTTAAAAATTTGGGCCGGTATGCTTTTTTTAAATAATTAAAAAAAAAATGTATATGTATTGTTTTTACATGCAGGCAGCTTTTATCCCTTGCAAGATGTGAATATTAGGATGATGATAATAGTAATAATAATAAATGTTAAGCATTGGCCCAATCGATAATGGCTGGCTGGTTTCAAGATGGGCCGACCCAATTAGAGGTTACACGGATGTAATCAAAATCTGGCAGGAATGTCAAACAAACAACAAGCTGATTGTCAGAGATGGACTGAAAAAAAGGAAAAGCGTGCCAAAAAGCTCAGAGAAAGCAAAACATTGCTCTAAAATCAGACGCTGCCAAATGCATAAAATTAACTGAAATAGTCTCGAAAGGGGGCAGCACAGTGGGTAGCACTGTCGCCTCACAGCAAGAAGGTTGATGGTTCAAGCCTTGGCTGGGTCAGTTGGTGTTTCAGTGTGGAGTGTGCATGTTCGCGTGGGTTTCCTCCTGGTTTCCCCCCAAGTCCAAACACATGTGCTATAGGTGAATTGGGTTGGCCTAATTGTCCGTAGTGCATGTATGAGAATGTGTGTGTATAGGGGTTTCCCAGTGATGGGTTGCAGCTTGGAGGGCATCCGCTACGTAAAACATATGCTGGGATAGTTGGCGGTTCATTCCGCTGTGGCGATCCCAAATTAATAAAGGGACTAAGTTGAAAAGAAAATGAATTAATGAAATGACTGTATGTATATTTGTTATAAATGGGTTGGTTTTGTTCCAGTCACATACATTAACAGTTTAAATATCTATTACATATGGTACTGCTTATATTATTTTGACCATCTGTACACCAATATAAGTAGTTAATGTGCGTGTCCGTGGGTGGGGCTGAGTCAGTGTGGTAATGTGGGCTGGTGTGGGTACAGTGCCAGTGCTGATTTTTAGTCCACGTCCGCCCCTGTTTTTAAAGTAACTTCAAAGTAAAGTACTTAGTAATCTGATTACTTTTTACATGAAGTACTTGGTAATGTAATCAGATTACAAGTTTCAAGTAGTAGTCAGTAATTAGTAATCTAATACTTTTTAAAAGCAACTTATCCAACACTGCCCGAGATGTCAGGCTAGCAGTTTTGCAATCCCTTGAACTGCAACATCATGTCAACAACCCGTATGTTTTAGAAATGAAGCGTAAAGGTTGCTTGTGTTTGTGCTGAAACTCATCCTACCTAATTTTTGCATGCACGCACGAAGCCTCTCCTCAAGATTAGACACCCTGTTGTGGAGCTCCTCGTAGTCAAAGGCCCCGATCTCCTCCTGCAGCTCACTTAGCACTGACGTCAGATTCTTGACCTCCTCTTTAAACTGCATTACCAATTTTGCATCGGCCTTGTATTCCTCCAACACTGGTATCATTGGCCTAAGTTCCTCCATTTTCGCTTTTATGGCCTGAAAGGTTAAAATAGGCGTGGTTCAGTAGGCATGCGTGCAAACGATCGCGTCCAAACACCCTGTCTTGCCCTCACTCGTCTACTCTATCACGATACATATATATATTATACAAGTGGGATAGATGTAGAGGCGTAAAACAAGTTCTCAGTACACCAGCAAAATGTGAAAAAACTCTCTTTATTTTTTGTTTCAATGCTTAGAATGCAAGTCTCACATGCTTCACATACAACAATAGTTCTCGCTCGTTTCCAAATATCCAAATGTGCATTAACAAATTGGAGTTAGTAAAGACATGTCATAACATTAGAGGATCTACTCAACGGTAGTCTGCAAATAGTGGCATGCACAAAAAAGACTTGGCAAGGTGCGTTTAAAATAAACTGAATGATGCGATCAGTTGACCAGTTGGAGATTACACTGGGATTGAACTTGTTCTTCAGTCTCTGCAGCTTTGATTTAATGCATAAAGTTAGCCCTGCAAGCAAGAAAATGAAATTGGGTTGAATAGCTAACTCGCTAGCCTTTCTAAAACACACATCTTCACAGATACAGCTGAAATTATACAACACACTTGATGATTTAAATGTACAGTAATTGTAACTTGATAGGATGAATATACACACAGATGAGTGAATGAAGTTGTTTGATGGTTTCTATTTAGGTTTATACACCAGGTTTAGTTATTGTTATTAAATGTATTACTCATGTTCTTTACAAGTTGGCATTTATTTAATTAAAAATACAGTGGAACTAAGAAATGCTAGCACAAATTGAATGCAGAATTTCTCCTGTTTCAAGCAATCCTTCCAAAATCATTGTAAGTTTGTGTTTAACCCTTTTAGGCTCAAATTAAATTTTAGAAACAGGCAAAATCTATGCTTTTAACTGTTGCAAATCAGCAACGCCTGCCTTGAGAGAGTTCAGGAGAGTTTATTTTTATAAAGTAAGTAAACAGTGGTCAGTAGAAATAAGCACATACCTTACAGGTCTCTATGTGTATCTGTGTATCTGTGTATATATACAGTATCTTCAGTACCAAAGCCATGACTAGAACTAACCAAACGAAGTAACTTTGGATCATGGTGCGAAAATTAGTAGACACAAAGGAATATGTTAGGGAAAAGAATTAAATAAAACTTTAATAAAGAGCACAAACTACCAGTCAAAAGTTTGGGGTCAGTTTTTTATTTATTTATTATTAATTTAATTCAATAATTTAAATAAAATCATCTAGTTGATCAATTCAGCTGGATTCATTAAATGTTAAAAAAGTTAAATTGTAAAATACTTATTTATTTAATATATATTTATTACGTATTGTATGTAATTTCAAATGAAATTATTACTCCAGTCATTATTGGTTTTATTACTATTATCATTAATAATAATAATGTGAATAATAATAACAATAATAATTAATATTAGAGTGATTTCTGAAGGATCGTATGACTCCGGAGTAATGAAGCTGTAAATTCATCATTAAAATCACTGGAATAAATGATTAAATTAAATTATAAACTACTTTTGAACAGCTTTTTTTTATAATGCAATAACGTTTCACTATTTGTACTGTATTTGTGATTAAATAAATGAATCCCACTGACCCAAAACTTTTGACCGGTAGTGTATGTACAGTATATATATATATATATATATATATATATATATATATATATATATATATATATATATATATATATATATATATATATAATTTTTTTTTCCCATTTCAGGGGTCAGGTTAGGATAATCAGACAAGTCATTGTATAATGATGGTAGGCTATCAAAAAATCATAGCTTAAAGGGGCTAAAAATTTTTACCTTAATATGCTTTTAAATTAATTAATTTTAATAAATTTAATTTAAATTAAAAACTACTTTTATTCTAGCCAAAATAAAACAAATAAGACTTTCTCCAGAAGAAAGAATACTATCAGATAAACAGTGAAAATTACTTCGTTGAACATTTTTTTTTTCAAAATTTGAATACATTTTTTATTTAATACATTTAAATTCAAATGAGTTGCAAAAAAAACAGAAACAACTGTGTTTTGCATCTCCTAAGAATGTAAAATAAAGCTATATAAAGTAATTATTTAACGAGTGCTTTGAGTCTTCTGAATAATGTTATTAATCAATTAATAAAAAATATTGAAACTTCTTTTGAGTTTAAATGGTTTAAATGCAATAAAATATTGCCAATTTTCACTGTGAAGTTAAAAAAATATATATAATTTCTCTCTCTCTCTCTCTCTCTCTCTCTCTCTCTATATATATATATATATATATATATATATATATATATATATATATATATATATATATATATATATATATATATATATAAGATGCTTGCTCAGCTGTTTAACTGTATATATACATACATACAGTTGAAGTAAGAATTGTTAACCCCCCTTACAATTTTTTTCTTTTTTTAAATATTTCCCAAATGATGTTTAACAGAGCAAGGGAATTTTTACAGTATGTCTGATAATATTATTTATTTTTTAAAGAAAGTTTAATTTTAAATAATAGTTTTTTGTTTAATTTCGGCTAGAATAAAAGCAGTTATTATTTAAAAAAAAAAAACATTTTATGGTCAAAATTATTTGCCCCTGTATGCTATATTTTTTTCTCAATCGTCTACAGATAAAACCATCATTATACATTATATTATTAATTACCTTAACCTGCCTAGTTACCCTAATTAACCTAGTTAAGCCTTTAAATGTCACTTTAAGCTGTATAGAAGTGTTTTTAAAAAATATATAGTAAAATATTATTTACTGTCATCATGGCAAAGATAAAATAAATCTAAAGTATAGAAATGATAAAATAGATTATTATGTTTAGAAATGTGTTGAAAATTTTTTTTTCGTTAAACACAAAATGGGACGGAAAAACAGGGGGGGGGGGTAGTAATTCTGACTTCAACTGCAATATATTATATCATTATTAATATTAAAATATTTATTTATATAATAAACATTTTTCTAAACCTCCTTTAAATTTAAAATTATTATGTTTCTATTCCAACTTTTGTTTGGTGGCCACATTTTTATTTGGATGAACATAACTGGTTACTAAAAGTTGATCAATTACACTAAAATATTGTTATTTTCACAGTGAAATTATTAAAAAAATGTATATAAATGCATTTCTTTGAAGTAAAATTTTTCATTATTTTACAGTTTTTACTGAACAAGACTATAATTGTCTTTTTAATGCTCTTACTGCCCTCTATTTATCCAAAGGTCGCTAATATCATATCTAAATAGCACTGGCATCATTAAGTGTATAAACACTCTTGTATTAAAAAAAAGAAAAATGCCTTTTTGGCCTCCGTTTTTCAAACTCATCATAAATATTCTCCAGCTTGGACAGAAATGCCATGTTTGTATATTCCCGGCACATACCTGAACTTCTGAAAATGAAAAGCACTCTGATTTAAAGATCATGTGATGTTGTATATGTTGACCTTTTCCAGCGATTGCATCCAAATATCTGATGCCTTCATGTAATAAATGTTTAAAGGTCAAGTCATAAATTGTTTTGAGTAGTTTAAATGAACAAGAGGATGCAGCCTGTGCTGACCTGCCTGAACACAATATTCAGTTTCATTAGATCTAAATTTTCAACACGCTTATTTTGTTTAAAAGACTTTGAAGGGCACAGTGATGTGGAAGGAGCTAACAGATTGTGCTAGATTGATCTATAAAATCTGTGGCACTCCCGGAGCTCGATACATGCTACAAATTGCAATGCGGAGAAATCGCCGTGCCTCTGTCTAGAAAAAAATAGAACCGGCCTCATTAGCATGCAGATGCAATTGATGTCACGCAGCTAACAATGCCTAAGATGGAGAAGCAGCTACGGCGCCAAAATGAATCACATTTTGCAATTCACTTCTTGTAGAGAAAATGCCTGTGGCGTCCACTTAGGATGAGAAAATCACTCATAACGTGTATTCTGAGCGCACAGATGTGCAGAAAATGAAATTGCAGACTAGTTTATCAATGTTAAACATGTTAAAGGGTTTAGTTCACCCCAAAATGAAACTCGTCCGCATGTTCATCCACACCCATAATTTTTTTTATTTGTTCATCTCCATTCAACACTGATGAAGATATTTTTAAAGGAACACTCCACTTTTATTTTTGGAGATCTCCCCTAGAGTTAAACAGTTGAGTTTTACCATTTTTGATTTCATTAGCTTAGCTTAGCATAGTGCATTGAATCGGATTAGACCATTAGCATCATCACCAAAGAGCAACTTTTCCAATTTAAAGCTTGAATCTTGTGTAGTTTCATTGTGTACTAAAACTGACGGAAAATGGAAAATTTCTATATTCTACGCTAATGTGGCTGGAAACTATCCTCTCCAGAATATTCCGGTGTGATAATCAACAACTTTGCTACCATCCCATGGCTACAGCCGGTGCTATTACGCAGATTCTAAAGCAGGTCGCACACCAGAAGTGGCGCTCAGCACATGACAGTTTAAAGTATCACACACCAGACGCGCACATTCACGTGATATTTAACATGAAATGAATCAGATGGCGCTCTGTGGCGCGGCTGAAATATGAACTGCGTCCTGAGTCGTGGCTGGGCGCCGCCGACAGCCGCCGACTTGCGGCGTCGGTGTGTGTACCCTGATAGAAAACTATGTTTAGAATTCTAAAATGCATGGCGCTGAGTGGCGTTGCACGACGCTTTGCGCGGCGCTTCTGGTGTGCGACCTGCTGAACTGCTGTTGCAAATGTAGTGCTTGGTGCTGCATTGAGACTTTTTTCAGGTGCTGCCTAATATCATTGCGACTTCTGTAGCCAGGGTATTAGTGAGAAGCTAATGGTCTAATATGACTCTACTGAAAAAAACTGCTTAAACCAGCCTAGGCTGGTTTTAGAGGGGTTTAGGCCAATTCCAGGCCAGTTCCTAGCCATTTCCAGCCTGTTCAGGCTGGGAGGTGACTAGCTAAATCCAGCTTGACCAGCCTAGCCAGGCTGCGAGCCCAGCCAAAACCAGCTATCTCCAGCTTAAACCAGGCTGGTCACTCGAGGGGATGATCTATGCTAAGCTAAGTTAAAAGTGCTCCCTTCGAATCTGAAGATTGGCAACACTCTAAAAAACGTTGAGTTATTTATTAAACCCACTGGTTGAGTTAGTTATTTTTAACCTATATTAAGTTATTTGTTAATAACTCAACCAGTTGAATATTTTGTGCTTTGTTGGGTTATTTATAACCTTTATTTGGTTATTTATTTAATAACTCAACCAGTTGGGTTAAAATTTTGAATTTCAACTGTCAACTGATTTAACGGACAAAACAGCTGTATTATCCATGTGTAATGTTGTTTTTGTCTTATAAAGTTTAATTAAGCTATAACAATAATATTGTAATTTTTTATCAAATCACCTCTCCTTGTCAATATTTTATATCCATTTCACCATCCAGGACCATCTTTTAGAAGCGTTTGGATGTGCTTAAATTATATTGTACATTGTGGACACTGAGTGAAGCCTGCTGGACAGTCTCTACAGCACACAGAGCTCCAAATTCTGCTCCATCAACACATGATGTTCTGCTTGCACAGTTTATAACTGTCTGCACTTTGTTCTTTTCCTTCATTGTTTGTGATTGATAATTTTTTTTAACAAAAGTGTCTAGAACTAAAATAAAGCATTTTCAATATTTTTTAAAAAAGTATGTTATTTGTTTACACAGCTACAATTATAATAATAGTAGTACTAATAATTAATAGTAGTACTAATAATAGTAGCAATAGTAATACCAGAATGGAAAAATAACATTTAATCAAAATAACCCAATGCATTGGGTTAAAATAAGCCATAGTTGTGGAAGGTGCTACAATAACTTAAGTTGTTACTTAATACATTGGGTTATATGTTGGGGTATTTTCAACCCAACTACTTTAACACAATAAAATAGATTCACAAAGGGTCAAACTTAAATGTTTATCTCTAGGGAATTCAATTTTTTTTTTTTTACTGAAGTGTTAATATGATTAATTTATGTCTCTACACAGAAAGTATTAAGATTTCTAATGATAAACACATATGTTTTATGGGTTTTGAATGAAATGATGGTGACCGTTTACTCTTTTGTCTGAGTTTCTTTCTTCTGTTGAACACAAAGGAAGTTATCCTCAAGAATGTTGGAAACGGGTAGCCACTGACATCCATATGAGGAATTAAAATCTACTATTGGATGTTAATGGCTACCAGTTTCCAACATTCTTTAAAATATCTTCCTTTGTGTTCAGCAGAATAAAGAAACTCAAATATGTTTAGGGAAAAAAAGAATTTACTTTTGGGCGAACTGTGCGTTTAAAAAGGGGAAAAAAAACCTGTTTATGTGGTCACAAATGAAATATATGGCAATGACAATGTGATAATCAAAATGAAAAATAAGTAGTACGCACCTTATATTGCTTGGCGATATTCTGCTTGTGGCTTTCTTCCACCTGTTTGAACTTGGTTTCCAGTCCTCTGAGCTGCACCTCCATTCTTTGCACATACTGCAGGTCTTTCTGAGTCCTCTGGTCAAGATTCTGGATGGACTGAGTCATATTCTGGACCTTAGAGACAGAGAGAAAGAGAACATGAGAGGACTCACAAGTAGGGCCAGACAGAATCGGCAGACATTTTTTGCTATTTCTGCTGAGAATTTTGTAAAAAAAATCTGTAGAAACTGGAATTAATTGGGGAGTATTGTAACTAAAAATAATATATTTTTTAGATTTTATTTAATTTTTACAATGCAAATCCAATTGAATACGCTTATTTGGTTAACGAAGCAAGTCTCTTCTTTAATATATCTACTAAAAGGCAGAAAATATTACCTTACAAACTGTATTGTAAGTGTATAATATAAACATATTAGTCAATAATATAATAATAAAATTAATTTAAAAACTGAGTAAATATAAATTCACACACATTTACACAAGAAATAAAGAGATTCACTGATGGGTTAAAAATCTGAGGAAATCTGTGGATTTCTGAGAGCACTGATTCTGTGGGCCTACTCTAAGCCATGTGACGGGTGAAAACCTTACCTAACACGTAGAGGTGCACCGACTGTCCAGCCAATTTCTCCTAATTTATTCTAGATTTGCATATAAATTGCACTGCAATGATTTTATATTACAAATAATGTAAACAGAACATTAACAGAAGACATGACAGAGCACAGATGTCCCAACAAACAGTCTGGCAGCACCCACAGAAACTTACCAAATTTCCAAACCAAACTAAACAAATACTGACTTTTGTTGACTTCATACTTCTTTGATTCTGTGATTTTTTCAACTGACTTTAAATTAAAACAAGGTATGAAGTTTTCATCATATCTCATGTTTAGGCGATCACTTATATTCAAATTATGTCAAATTCAACTATACAGCTAGAGTAAATATCGCAGTTCACCCAAAATAAAAATTCTGTTCATTTACTCACTCTCCAATTGATTTAAACCTGAATTTCTTTCTTCCTTTGAACACAAAAGTTGTAGGAATGAAATCAAATCAAATCAAATTAATTCAATATGTAGCATGCACTGCACTTTAACCAATCCATACTGTGTGAATCCATACTGCTACAACTATGTGGACACCTATTCATTGTACATATCGCTGTCAATCTTACATTGTCCTGTTTCTTTCTTTTTTTTTTTTTTTGGGGGGCACTGTCTGTATTTTGCACTGTCATTGTATTTGCGCTGTCTGTATTTTGCACAGTCATTGTATTTGCGCTGTCTGTATTTTGCACAGTCATTGTATTTGCGCTGTCTGTATTTTGCACTGTCATTGTATTTGCGCTGTCTGTATTTTGCACTGTCATTGTATTTGCATTGTCTGTATTTTGCACTGTCATTGTATTTGCATTGTCTGTATCTGTATTTTGCACAGTCATTGTATTTGCGCTGTCTGTATTTTGCACTGTCATTGTATTTGCGCTGTCTGTATTTTGCACTGTCATTGTATTTGCGCTGTCTGTATTTTGCACAGTCATTGTATTTGCGCTGTCTGTATTTTGCACTGTCATTGTATTTGCGCTGTCTGTATTTTGCACAGTCATTGTATTTGCGCTGTCTGTATTTTGCACTGTCATTGTATTTGCATTGTCTGTATTTTGCACTGTCATTGTATTTGCATTGTCTGTATTTTGCACTGTCATTGTATTTGCATTGTCTGTATTTTGCACAGTCATTGTATTTGCGCTGTCTGTATTTTGCACTGTCATTGTATTTGCGCTGTCTGTATTTTGCACAGTCATTGTATTTGCATTGTCTGTATTTTGCACTGTCATTGTATTTGCATTGTCTGTATTTTGCACTGTCATTGTATTTGCATTGTCTGTATTTTGCACTGTCATTGTATTTGCATTGTCTGTATTTTGCACTGTCATTGTATTTGCGCTGTCTGTATTTTGCACTGTCATTGTATTTGCATTGTCTGTATTTTGCACTGTCATTGTATTTGCATTGTCTGTATTTTGCACAGTCATTCTATTTGCATTGTCTGTATTTTGCACTGTCATTGTATTTGCGCTGTCTGTATTTTGCACTGTCATTGTATTTGCGCTGTCTTTATTTTGCACTGTCATTGTATTTGAGCTGTCTGTATTTTGCACTGTCATTGTATTTGCATTGTCTGTATTTTGCACTGTCATTGTATTTGCGCTGTCTGTATTTTGCACTGTCATTGTATTTGCATTGTCTGTATTTTGCACTGTCATTGTATTTGCATTGTCTGTATTTTGCACAGTCATTCTATTTGCATTGTCTGTGTTTTGCACTGTCATTGTATTAGCATTGTCTGTATTTTGCACAGTCATTGTATTTGCATTGTCTGTATTTTGCACTGTCATTGTATTTGCATTGTCTGTATTTTGCACAGTCATTGTATTTGCGCTGTCTGTATTTTGCACTGTCATTGTATTTGCGTTGTCTGTATTTTGCACTGTCATTGTATTTGCATTGTCTGTATTTTGCACAGTCATTGTATTTGCATTGTCTGTATTTTGCACTGTCATTGTATTTGCATTGTCTGTATTTTGCACTGTCATTGTATTTGCGTTGTCTGTATTTTGCACAGTCATTGTATTTGCATTGTCTGTATTTTGCACTGTCATTGTATTTGCATTGTCTGTATTTTGCACAGTCATTGTATTTGCGCTGTCTGTATTTTGCACTGTCATTGTATTTGCGTTGTCTGTATTTTGCACTGTCATTGTATTTGCATTGTCTGTATTTTGCACAGTCATTGTATTTGCATTGTCTGTATTTTGCACTGTTGTTGTATTTGCATTGTCTGTATGGGTATTTTGCACTGTCATTGTATTTGCATTGTCTGTATTTTGCACTGTTGTTGTATTTGCACTCTGTATTTTGAACTGTCTGGAGCCCGCACCTAAGCTTTTCACTCATCATAGCACACGTGCTGCTGATGATGTGACAATAAAAGTGATTTGATTTGATTTGTAAAGCAGCAGCCATAACTTCCATAAAATGATTTTTTTTCCAACTTTGGATGTGCGGAAATGGAAAAAAACAAAAATGTGGTGTATTTATAGTTAAAGTTAGAATTATTAGCCCCCCTTTGAAATGGTTTTTCTTTTTAAATATTTCCCAAATGATGTTTAACAGAGCAAGGAAACTTTCACAGTATATCTGATAATATTTTTTCTTCTGGAGAAAGTTATTTGTTTTATTTCGGCTAGAATAAAAGCACTTTTAAATTTTTTAAAAACCATTTAAGGGACAAACTTATTAGCCCCTTAAAGCTATATTTTTTCAATATTCTACAGAGCAAACCATCATTATCAATAACTTTCCTAATTACCCTAACCTGCCTAGTTAACCTAATTAACCTAGTTAAGCCTTTAAATGTCACTTTAAGCTGTATAGAAGTGTCTTAAAAAATATCTAGTCAAATATTATTTACTGTCATCATGGCAAAGATAAAATAAATCAGTTATTAGAAATGAGTTATTAAAACTGTTTAGAAATGTGCTGAAAAATCTTCTCTTCTTTAAACAAAAATTCAGGGGGGCTAATAATTCTGACTTCAACTGTATATGTACATATAATATAGGAAAACGGCCAATTTTATATATGTCACATATATTAAAAACCCAAATCAAAACATTTATTAAAACATTTACCGTGTGGGCGATTGGTTGCTTTCTCCCTAGCATTCTTCAGAAAATTTAGTTTTGTGTTCAATAGAAAAAAGAAACTTATACAAGTTTCAGACCATCTGAGTGTGAGTAAATGTGAGGAAATTTTCATTTTAGGTGAATTTTCGTTTTCCCTTGAGCAGTGAACATCACTGAACATAATTTCTGAGATGATACCGATCGGTCCTACTTTCACATTTTGAAACTGGCTCACAAACAGAACCTTATAGGACCAAGTTAGAGTTTAAAACATTTTGTTTAATAAGTAAAAGATCCAAAATGTACGCACACAAACACATGATGTCAATACGTTGTCACAGAATAAGAATATACAGATAACATATTTCACAAAAATGTTAGATAGAGTGTGCTGTCTGTGTGAGCAGAGCATGAGCAGTGCGTGTTTTTTTCGGCGTCCATGTTAACAGATTAGAGCTTTCATATCGCAAGCAGAAGCAGAGGCGTGAGTGTCGCCGAAGCAGCAGTGCCCAATAACAATAACTCATTGACCAATAACACATTGAATGACAGTAAAAAGTAGCAATTTTACCCAATAAATGAATCAATAGTTTTCACTGATTTTAATATATTTAATCAAATGAACTTAAACGATTAAAAACGGCAACAAATATTTATTTAGGCCTGATCTACAAAACGAAATTTAAAAAATAAATATCATATTTATTATAAATGTATTTTATCATTTATAAAATTTATAAATATAATATAAATATCATTATAACTATATTGTATAAATATTATTATTATAACAACAGGCCAACATCATCCTGACAATCAAAAACTAAATGACATGATATCACAGATGATTGTCTTCTGACCGAGTGCACCTGAAAAGACATGAATGACACTCCTCAGAGTGTGAGAAGCATGGGCTACAGCTCTTTAGGATCTGGATAATTTGTAAAATAAAGACTCTTAGGTTAAGGTAACAGCATAGGAGGAAGTTGCTGTGGGCCTTGGTGCAGATGAAAAAAGTGTAGGCCTGTTTATAGATAGATAGGTAACTACATAGAATAGGCCGAGAAACATTGATCTGTGCAGCAGCTGCCGATGAGCTGCACGCTGCAGTCGCAGCTAGTGTGAAAGGCAAACCCTGCGTGCTGCTTCTGCTCTCTATATGTGCTGCGCACGCGCTGCTAACGCTCTGCTTGTGCTTGCAGTGTGAAACAGGCGGTACAATTTCAAGCTGACAGATTAACCTTACTATATCTTTTCATTCAGATAGTACTTTCTTTATAGATTATGTCTGTATCATGTATATTTCAAAAGAAGTAATTCTTTTGTTCTTCGTTTGAGGGCAAGAAGTTCGAAAAGTCTGTGTTTCAAACCTCCTCTCCATGAGCGATTAGCCCTCCAGTATATTCATGCTGCTTCATCATGAAGTTATTGTTTTGGATGTTGTTCTCCTGTTTTCCTATCTGACTTCCACTGATATGAGATATGAATCAATCAAAGAAGCTGGAGTTTTGTAACACACTTACTGATTGCATAATCACCACAGGTGTTTAAGAGCCAAAGCGAACTCCCCTCAGAAAGCTTGCTTTGAGATGAGTTGTTTTGATCTGCCGAAATGAACTCAATATGACCTTTGTTTTGGCTGGATTTTATTTTAAATTTCCTCACTTCAGTTCGTTGTACAACGACAATTGGAATCAGACAATTTTTGCTTTGAAAAACCGAGATCGGTGCATCACTACTGAAAAGATTTATTAAAGCCATTCGTCGTGCGGTTTAATCTGTCAGTGGGGCTTTGTGTGGATTATTTTCAAAGGTTACTTTTTCCAGAAGCTGTCTCAGTTGCTTGGTCCTGGCGTCCCGTGAGCACATGGTCTGCTGAGGAGCCACAACCGTGCACACACACCTGCCCTCGCTGTCCTGCGCTGAGCTGTACACCTGCCACGACTCCTCAGGGTTCGCAGGCAGCACCTGGGATAAACAAAGAGAAAGAAGGTCAGTGACTGATCGCCGTGTGTTTTATAGGAAGCAGCTTTGTAGCAAATTTATCCTTTCTGCCACTGCAGTCTTTGAGAAGGTTAATTGCCTGAACAGTACACAAGGGCAGAGTGAGTGTTTTTGGCCAGTTGATGCTTTTCTCTGTGCAAGAACTTTAAAACAGGGGTGAGTTTGCCAAAACTTTTGTTAGCCAACTAAGTTGGCAAATTCTGCCGTTCAGATGAACATTCACAAACACCGTCACCAACTTTTATGATTGGAACCGCAGCTCTCAATCTGTGGCTATAAAGCATAGCTTATTCCTGATGTGACATATGGACAGACCGTAAAGGTAACCAAATTAGCTATGGAGCCAGATCGCTGTCAAAAATAATATGTTTACAAAATATTTGTAAATTGAAAACATGATTCATAAATACAAAAATCATTCATTCATTCATTCCTTTTCTTGTCTGCTTAGTCCCTTTATTAATCCGGCGTCGCCACAGCGGAATGAACCGCCAACTTATCCAGAACGTTTTTTACGCAGCAGATGCCCTTCAAGCCGCAAATCATCTCTGGGAAACATCCACACACACACACACACACAACAGACAATTTAGCCTACCCAATTCACCTGTACTGCATATCTTTGGACTGTGGGGGAACCGAAGCACCCAGGGAAACCCACGCGAATGCAGGGAGAACATGCAAACTCCACACAGAAACGCCAACTGAGCCGAGGTTTGAACCAGCGAACTTCTTGGTGTGAGGCGACAGCACTACCTACTGCGCCACTGCGTCGCCAATACACAAATCCAATTCACAAATTCAAGGCACGATTTATGAATATGCAAATCAAATTCGTAAATTCAAAACACAATTATTTAATACACAAATTTAATTCGGAAATTAAAAAACACAATTCATGAATATGCGAATCCAATTCATAAATTCAAAACACGATTCAGAAATACACGAATCCAATTCGCAAATTCAAGATACGATTCATGAATATGCAAATCCAATTCGTAAATTCAAAACACAATTAATAAATACACAAGTCTAATTCGTAAATTTAAAACAAGATTCATAAATATACAAATCCAATTCATAAATTCAAAACATGATTCATGAATATGCCAATCCAATTCTTAAATTCAAAATCCACATATTCTATTAGTAAATTCAAACACGATTCATAATTTTGCAAATTCAATTCGTAAAAAAATGTAAAGACGATTCATGAATACGCAAATCCAATTTATAAATTCAAAACATGATTAATGAATATGCAAATCCAATTTGTAAATTTAAAACACAATTCAAAAATACACAAATCCTATTTGTAAATTGAAACAGGATTCATAATTATGCAAATTCAATTCGCAAATTTAAACCATGATTCAAAAATACTTAAATCCAATTCGTAAATTCAAAACAGGATTCATGAATATGCAAAACCAATACCTAAATTCAAAACACAATTTATAAATACTCAATTTCAATTTGTAAACTCAAAACAGGATTCATAAATATACAAATCCCATTCATAAATTCAAAAACGATTCATAATGCACAAATCCAATTCATTTGCCAAAAATATTTATGATTTTTACTAGTGAATTCAACAATTGTTGGTTTACAAATTTACAATTGGATTTTGCAAATGTACTATCTCTACATTACAGATCTCTACATAGCAGTACTATCTCTACATTTCATTCCATACTGGCACACATACCGTCTGTGTCTGTCTTTAGAGATTTAAAGAGCTGTTTTGAAGAGTGTGCATGTTGTATATCAATCTTAAATGTTCAATTAGCAAAGGTTATCACTCCACTACCTGCATGATGTCACTGACAGTGTGGCTAATGTGGTAGTAAATTGTGTGTATCCAACGTAACATCATTTAGTTGGCTGACATCATTTTGTGATTGTAAAATTATAAAAATGCTACATTATAATCAGATAGAGGGTATATTTAACAAATAAATGATAAATGACAAAAAATTTACCTGATAAGTAAATGTACAAATAAATTGTAAACTATTTCTTTGTAAAAGTTGAAAACCTTGAAAAACCCATTAATACTAATAATATTACTAATAATTTATTATTATTATTATTATTTATTTATTAATAACAATTGTTTTATTATTATTAAACAGTCATGTTATTATTATTATTATTATTATTATTATTAACAATAATTATTATTATAATAATAACAATAATAATACCTATAAAATATCTATAATAATAATAATAATAATAATAGTAATAATAACAATAATAATAATAATAATAATAATAATAATAATAATAATAATAATAATAATAATAACTACTACTATTATAATAATAATAATAATAATTATTATTATTATTATCATCATCATCATCATTATTATTCATATTATTTTCATCATTATTCATATCATAATAATTTTCTGATAATAATATAATATATTTTGCAATATAAATTGCTAAAAAAACGGTATACATGAAATGTTATGGCAGGCTAGAAAAAAAATATTTTCATACCTTGAGAGTATTTTTCAGTGAGAAAATAATAAACACATACAGCAGCGTGCTACAATGTATACAATGATTTTCCAGCAAACACACACACACAACACACACACAAAACACATAAATCTTCAAAGATATATGGTAAGAAATGAAATGAAAGGAAATCACAATAAAAATAATTATAATTCTATAAGATGAATAAGCCCTAAACATACTTATTTGTTGATCTGTGTATAATCATCATGGCTTTTGTTAACAGCCATTATAGAAGTAAATACCAGTAAACATTCATATATTAAATACAAAAATAGGCTATATGGTAAGTGAATATAGCAGTGAATATTCTGTAGGCAATGCATTTTGGTGTATTTAAACAAAACTGATTTATTAAACAGACATATTTATTAAAATAATGTTTTACTCACCAAACATATTTAGAAATTGAAAGATAATACTATTAAATTCAAGCGAAATATTGCAAAAATACATTACAACCTACAAAAATTCAACGTAATTTTTCATTTATTATTCTTCTCTTGATTTTTCCTCTTTTTTAAATTTGTATTTAATATTTTCTATAACATACAGTTTAAGTCAGAATTATTAGCCCCCTGAATTATTAAACCGCTTGTTTATTTTTTCCCCAATTTATGTTTAACAGAGAGCAGATTTTTTCAACAAATTTCTAAACATAACAGTTTTAATAACTCATTTCTAATAACTGATTTATTTTATCTTTGTCATGATGACAGTAAACAATATTTACTAGCTAGATATTTTTCAAGACACTTCTATAAAGCTTAAAGTGACATTTAAAGGCTTAACCAGGTTAACTAGGCAGGTTAAGGTAATTAGGCAAGTTATGGACTAACGGTGGTTTGTTCTGTAGACAATCAAGAAAAAATGTAGCTTAAAGGGGCTAATAATTTTGTCCTTAAAATGGTGTTTAAATTTAAAAACTAATTTTATTCTAGCCAAAATAAAACCAACAAGACTTTTTTCCAGAAGAAAAAATATTATCAGACATACTGTGAAAATCCCCTTGCTCTGTTAAACATCATTTGCGAAATATTTAAAAAAGAAGAAAAAAATTTGAAGGGGGATAATAATTCTGACTTCAACTGTATAAATTTGGCTGTACTAGTTTTTGTGTCGTTATCGTAAGTTATTTTGTTAGATTAGGCCCAGATTTAACTTGATTAATCTAATGTATATGCACAATTATAATATTGTAAAGCTTCCTATTAAAAATATGAAATTAAAAGAGAGATTTGTGAGGGGTGTACTTATATATGCTGAGCACTGCATCAGTAAATTCTAATTAGGCCAGCAGATCAAGAACATGAAAAAATTGTATTATTAAATCCTGCAACAGTGTGTGTATTGTTTATTACATTCACCCACTTCCATTTTGTTTCTTCAAGTCCTTCAAGAGCAGAGCAGTGTATCAGTGGTCAATATATCTTGACAGAACACACTTTTCTAAGGATTTTCACAGTAGCTGCTTTGACGCGAAATGATCTTTTTTCTCAAAGGGGATTTTTTGACCCAGTGGCTTTACATAAAAGAGCCATCTGGAAGAGAGAGCGTTTCCGTATGTCTTGCCCTAATCCTGAGTAATCTAATGAATAATCCATATTCATATCCAATGTGGACAGAAAGCACTTTTTTATTAAATTCAAAGGAATGTCTTTGTAAATCTGCCACCACCGCAATGCTGAATTCAGATTATGAAACAGCACTATATATTGTCTAAGAATATATTGTATAGAAAAAACTATAAAAGAAGAAATCACATCTTTATCTTACTCCCAAACATCTGATTAAACTAGTATCGATTTTAACTCAGGATTTCTAAGGTAGCAGGTGACTAATAATAAAATGAGCCAATACTATAAACACACTCAAAGTCAATAATGTCCCCGCCGAGACCCATTTTCACCTGATTGCGCCGTTTGAACCAGAGGAAACAAAGGTTTTTTTGTAAATTGGACGAGCTGGATAACATTGGATATCAATTTAAATTAATAACGCTGTCACGGTCGCGTCAACTCTAGCCAGATGGCTCCTATCACATCTGTCCCATAAACTAACACCTTCTGATGAACTCAAGATATCTTTAAACGAAGAAAAAGAAAACAAAATCACCAAACTAAGCGATATATAATATAGGTGAAGAGTTTAGATGCAAAAACCTCTAAATGCCGTCTGAAATTTTACTCTAAAATGAGCATTTTTATCAGGCTCCTGTGTGTATTTTCAGTAACGTTACTTTTATGGCAAAGAATAAGTCCTTTCTTTAAAGTAAACTATCTCATTATAGGATCTTTAAAGAGAAATAACTCATTATAAACAAAGGCTGAGAAAAAAAACATTTACAATGCAAAAAAGGTATGTATGTATGAAAATGGTACTTGAAATTGGTGTTATTGGCATGTTATGGAATTTAACTATGGCAA